TGTTCCATAAACTATATTATTCCCTCTGTTTCACATTTATGAAATTTAGAGAACGATGTAAACAGGGTTTTCTGTTACTTGCTATTCTCTGTAGTCTGAGGAAGACCGGAAGAATGTTCTCAGGCTGCAGGATCTGGTGGACAAGCTGCAAATGAAGGTGAAATCCTACAAGAGACAGGCTGAGGAGGCTGTAAGTATTGATGTGTGAAGTCAGTCTTTATCCAGGTGGATGTGGAATTCTGTGTTGGTGTTTTCCCCTCTATTTAAACCATGTTCAACATTGTGGGAGCAGGGCTCTGTGTCCTTTCATTTTCTTTATTTCATATTTCTGCCTAACAGAAAACAAATCACCTTCAAAAATTGTAATATATCATTTTATAGCAGTAAATAACTGGAACATGATTTAATGGAAATAACTGCAATTATATATAATCATTCAAAAATTCCATAGTGCACTAGCACTTCGTATTTAGAGCTAGGTTCTTGGTATGTCTTACTAACCATCTAAACATTTAGCATTTAATCTATTTCCTTGGATTCCTCCTAGAAGTATTAGAGAGAATTGCATACTAACTCATAGTCCTAGGGGTATTTTTCATCATTAAAAAGGAAAGTGCCACAGCATGTTAAGGGCAGTGTTACAGTAGGACTATCATTAAATGTTTTCAAGCCTATTTTATGTTTCTTCAAATCTCCAGGAGGAGCTCTCCAATGTCAACCTCTCCAAGTTCCGCAAGATCCAGCACGAGCTGGAGGAAGCCGAGGAACGGGCTGACATTGCAGAGTCACAGGTCAACAAGCTCCGAGTGAAGAGCCGGGAAATTGGCAAGAGGGCAGAAAGTGAAGAGTAAATGACGCCAGTGCTGTAAAGTGAGAGAGTTGCAAAAATGTGACATTCTATCACTTTTATTTTGTAATCACTGCTTAGTCCTTCATCAATATCTAGATAATTAATGCCTAGAAAATAAAAATTGTAGAGCTTTTCCCATTTAAATAATGAGAAGTTGTGTTGTATTTTAATCATTACCCCGAATTCTTATTTTTTATTCTTATTTCTTAATTCTTATTCTCATTCTATATTTACATTTTTCCTTACTTATTTAAACTTATTTATCCAATTAAAAATCTTGCTTCAGGTATTTTCAAAGTGTTTCAGCCACTGTTGAAGTGATCTAATCCGACATCCTGCTTTGTTCTCACCATAGAATTTCATCTAATACTTCCTAATGTGGCAAGTCATTATTTCTTTGCAAGAGAATATAATAATCCCTTATAACAGTTGCTTTAGGAATACAATAGATATTAACTCAATTGCTCTGTCCAAAGAATAAGAATTTATTGCATCTTCCATTAATCCAGCTAATCTTTGATCATTATTTCAAGTTAAGCTTTTTCAATCCTTCAAGCCACTTTGGAACATAGTTTAGAGTACATTTAAACTTAAAATGAGGTCTACTTTCATCTTTTGTTCATGAAAGTGATGTGCAAATCAACATTCCCAGGGCAGGTCACCAGCAACCTTATATAGTCAGTCATTCCTTGTCTATATTCTGTTCCCAAAACTCCCCTGAATCTTCTAACTTGGTCAGGCAAACACTTACCTCCTATGTAGTCTACAGGGTAATCCAGATAACTTTGCCCAGGCTGGCATCACTCAAAACATGTGTTTTCATTCTTTACAATATAAAGTAAAACATATGCAGGTATTCTTCCCAAAAATGTCAAGGCAGTGGAACAATTAAAAAAAAAGGTTTATTTCAGATGCAAGGACCCTTTCTTAACGATGCTGCACGCACTGGGCCCCCAGGGAAAAAAGGCAATGCCCAACCTTCTTTTTGTATCTTCTCTCTCTCCTCCCCCACACTCTCTGGCTTGACGATGCCTTGTACGTGTCTGCAAACATGTTATCTCCCTGCATACCAGGGAGATATCTTACAGCTTCTCCCTGTGACTTTCTCTGAAATACAGAAGGAAGGAAAAAAACCATCTAACCCATTTGAGAAGGCATTTTACAGTCTTCCTGAGCGAAATTGAGTTCTAGCTTTCCATCACAAATTCTTCAGAAATTGTACCTATCCCTACAACAAATGTCATTAAACATCAGAGAAATCCATGGTCACCTCTTAAAAGCAAGGAGAAATAGGTGTCACTTTCTCTGTCATAATCTAATATGTAGAGGACTTGTCCTTCCCCAGTCTGAAGATATTTGAACCAGTGAGACTTTCTCAAGATTTTTTCATATTCCACCTGGAAACAAGATGCTTGAAGAAACCAAATCAACTACTCCTGTTGAAGTTCCACAGCTATGCCTTCGGAAATAAAATCAGTTGTCTACAATGAAAAATGTCAAAATAGTCTCTGTAGAATAACAAAGAAAATGCTAATCTGGCAAAGGATGACTGCATTACTGAAGGGGTGGCAATTCACTGCTGTGACATGGGCCTGTCCCTCTCTTTGTTTGATTAGTTGATAAACCTGATGACTTGTCAGAGTTCACAAGCACCAAGAATATTCAATTATCTTCCTTTTGAGTTGGGCCATACCCTAAAACTTTTTTCTACATCTCTTCCTTTCATACCTTAGTGTTAACTGGACAATGAGGCTATGGTGCTCTCTGCTGTGTCCAAAGACACAGAAGCTGAAGTCCAGAGCTGAAGGCTATGATAAACAACACAACTTTCCTCACAGTAGACTTCTGTTTGTAGTTTCTTCATTTGGCTTTTTCTAAGAGAAGTGATCTAGCCCACAACACATCTGCATTTGCCATTGAGGCACCACTGTCTCAGACCAACCTTACAGCCATTGCACTTCTCAGTGAACACAAGCTGGACCAAAGAGTATTGCAGATCTCAGAACTGACCACCATTCCAAATAATTTGTCAGTCATTCATCACCCTCCTGTTTCCTATTAAAAAAAAAAATTATTAAGCTTTCTAAGCATGGAGTGGTGAGTAACAGAGAGAATTATGACTAATGTTCAATTGACAGTCACTTCTGATTATGTATTAGTTTATATAACTTCTAGTTGTTTTCCGCAGTTCTGATTCTTAGTTTGACACATGAAAGAGAGCATTCAGTGACTGAGAGCTATTCAGTAATTTTTCCCATTTAGTTTCTACTTAATGAGTATTATTCAAACTATGGAAAGATGGAAATACTAAATTCCTCATAGGCTTTCCAAGGTTTTAAGATAGATGTGTGAATTACTAGAATCACAGAATGGTTTGGGTTGGAAGGGACCTTAAAGCTCATCTCGTTCCACCCCCTGCCATGGACAAGGACACCTTCCACCAGCCCAGGTTGCTCCAAGCCCCGTCCAACCTGGCCTTGGACACTTCCAGGGATGGGGCATCCACAGCTTTTCTGGGCAACCTGTGCCAGGGCCTCTCCACCCGTCCCAGGGAAGTGGAAGGCTTAGACAAAGTTTTTTAGAGAAGCCCTCTTGTTGAGCTATGAGGTGCAGAAAGGACCCCTTTGCTTTCCAAACTCCTTCTCAGAGAGGAGCCTCAGTGTGTCTGGATCCAATCTCAGCCTCAGATTTTGTCCACAGTTTAAATTTAAGGAATTTTAGAGTCATGATTAAACCACTTTTGTCCCACAGGTCTTAATGATGGCAAATCAGATATATTTATATAAAATTAATTATTTATTATGACAAATGAACAGATAAAATATCTTAATCAGAATTATTTACTACACAGTATAAAAGCAAAAAACTACTAGTAGAGTATAGTATAGCATAAAGTGATATAGTGCACTGTACCAAAGCAATTGTATTAAAGCAATTCTATCAAAGCTGGCAAAAAGAAATAATCAGTAAGTAGAGATTGATGTAACTCACCACACAACAATTGTGGGCAGATCTCTCTCTTTCACTTAACCATGAATAGATATCTCCGCTTCACAGGAGAAGCTCCACACACTCAAAAAAAGTATATGGAAGAATCTGCCATATGAAAGTTGGACTGGGCTTTTTTAGTTATAAAGTGATTGACTGCCAGTCACATATTCCCAGGCCAGCCAGCAGCTTATCTGTCAAATCTTGCTTCAAAAAGCAGGGGTTGTTTGCAGTCTGGTGAACCAGGCTGGTTTTAACACAATTCAACACTAAAAGCAGTAACTCATCACAGACACTGTATTTTAGGCCCAAGACAGATAAGACCTATCAAGGCAGAGCATCCTGGTACACCACCCTCACAGGGTAGAATTTCTTCCCAGTATCCAATCTAAACTTACACTCTTTCTGTTGGAAGCCATTCTCCCTTGTTCTCTCACTCCTGGCCCTTGTCCAAAGTCCCTCTCCAGCTCTCTTGGAGCCTTTTTAGGCACTGAAAGGGGTTCTGAGGTCTCCCTGGAGACTTCACTTCCCCAGGCTGAACACTCCCAGCTCTCCCAGCCTGGCTCCAGAGCAGAGGGGCTCTAGTTCTCTAAACATCTTTGTGGCCTCCTCAAGACTCACTCCAGCAGCTCCACGTCCTTCCTGTGCTGGGCCCCCAGGGCTGGAGGCAGCTCTGCAGGGGGATCTCACCTGAGGGGGCAGAGAGGCAGAATCCCCCCCTCTCCCGCTGCCCACGCTGGGGGATCAGTCCAGCACACAGGGGGGTTTCCAGCCTCACCCACCAGCACCCACAAGTTTTTCTCCCCAGGGCTGCTCTTGATTCATTCCCTGCCCAGCCGGTACATGTGCCCAGGATCACATACTGATGTATTTAATGAAGGCAATTCATGCATACATACACATACACACACTCATCATTTCCAAAACTATTTTTCTGAGCACCAATCCAGTAACATGAAAATGTAGGGTTCTGTTTCATTACTGATATATAATCAAGGTCAAAAGTAGTCACTCTTCTTAGCTTTTGATTTCAAGGCTTTGATAAGGACTTTACAGCTGTACAGGACAGCTTGCCCTTAAGGAGTCCTCTAGTTAAGCATCACAATATCTCCAAACATGTTCCCAGAGTCACATGTCAGACACCTGAGAAAGGACATTCGTGGGATTGATTGTCACCTGTGAAAAGGATTGCTATCGAGTTCCTTTGGAGAAAGAAAAAGATGACAAATCAGCATGCAGCTTTTGTACCATGCAGATAAGTCCTGGTTTAATGCATCCCATGGAAAGAAAAGCAGTAGGAGCCTCTTTGCTCAGAAACCCTCTAATCTGCCAAGGAACCGTTCAAGCATTTGGGGTTCTTTTCATGATGGTTTTTTCCTGCCTGAGTCAAGCAGATAATTTTTTTCACCACACCTCCACCCCAGCCTGCCTCTGCCCCTGTGCACCACAGGCAGACTGACAGGGGCTGTTGGCCAAGACTCCCTGAAGAGAACACTGCAGGACAAGGCAGTACCTCACTGCAGGTAAGTCTCTGGTCTGGGCAAACATTTCCAACAACAAACATTAAATAGCTAAAACCATTGCCCCACAACCATCATGCCTCAGCTGAGTCTGAAGGAAAGCAAAAGCAGTGAGTGGAAAAGGTTCAGTTCTACACATGCTTTTACAGAAAAAAGAAAATAAGGTTTCAATCTGCTTCAGCCATGACATTTTCTTTGCCTGGCTGACTTTAGCTGAACCTCTGCAGACATGAGGCTGCAGCTAGGGTTCATCCCCACTGGTATGATGGGCTGCAGAGACTGGGATTGACTGAGGAGCTGATCCCACCCCTGGAATAGATTACACCATAGCATCACAGAATCATTTAAGTTGGAAAAGACCTCTAAGATAATTGAGTCCAACCATTAACCTAACACTGCCAGGTCCACCACCATGATGTACCTAAGTGCCACACCTACATGTTTTTTTAACACTTCTGGGATGGTGAGTCCACCACTTCCCTGGGTAGCCCATTCCAATGCCTTCTAATGACCGCTCTTTCAGGGAAAAAATATTCCCTAATATCCAGTCTGAACCTCCTCTTGCACAACTTGAAGCTGCTTACTCTTGTCACTTGTTTCCTGGAAGCAGAGCCCAACTCTCACCTGGCTCCCCCC